CGGAGGTCAGATAGAAGACTGAAGGGAAGGACGGAGGTCAGATAGAAGACTGAAGGGAAGGACGGAGGTCAGATAGAAGACTGAAGGGAAGGACGGAGGTCAGATAGAAGACTGAAGGGAAGGACGGAGGTCAGATAGAAGACTCATGGGAAAGACAGAGGTCAGATAGAAGACTGAAGAGATGGACGGAGGTCAGATAGAAGACTGAAGGGAAGGACGGAGGTCAGATAGAAGACTGAAGGGAAGGACGGAGGTCAGATAGAAGACTGAAGGGAAGGGCGGAGGTCAGATAGAAGACTGAAGGGGAGGACGGAGGTCAGATAGAAGACTCATGGGAAAGACGGAGGTCAGATAGAAGACTGAAGGGAAGGACGGAGGTCAGATAGAATACTGAAGGGGAGGTCGGAGGTCAGATAGAAGACTCATGGGAAAGACAGAGGTCAGATAGAAGACTGAAGGGATGGACGGAGGTCAGATTTAATACAAAATGTTTTGAAAGCTTGCATTTTCCATCTATTCAGATGGCCAGTAAATGTTATCCCTTCCTCTACAAAGGTTCGGCTGCGTGTAGAGAATTCCTCCTGTGATCAGTTTTAGAGAAGACACTAAAGTGGCTTTATAAATGTCTATGTGGTTTGTAGCTGTAAACTGCTAATTAACATTTCTCTGCAATGTAGCCTACGGCAAAGTGTTCCTGGTGCGGAAGATCAGCGGCCATGACTCCGGGAAGCTGTACGCCATGAAAGTGTTGAAGAAGGCAACTATAATTCAGAAGTCCAAGACGGCAGAACACACGAGGACGGAGCGCCAGGTGCTGGAACACATCAGACAGTCGCCCTTCCTAGTAACCCTTCACTATGCCTTCCAGACCGACACAAAACTTCATCTCATTTTAGGTAAGACTTTTCCTATACATGATTCGGAACTGCGGATAACCCACCCAGGTGCCAGCATTGCATTGTTATTAAGGGCAAGGGGCATGTATGATCTCCGCTACCAACAAGTGGGAAGAGGTGTTACAGATGGCCCCAGAGGGGCAAAGGTTAAAGTGACACTAAACTCCGGAGTTAAATCTTAAAAATACATTCAGGTCCCTTAACTCTGAACAACAATGTATCTTATTTGTGTATCACTCGGCTGTAGATCCTCCAATCATCTCTGAATTGGTGGTGACACTGTCCTTGCTTCTGGAGGGGGGCTACGTCTGTTCCCCATGGTCCCTGTGTGTGTTTGTAAAGTAGTCACCGCTCCAAGCTCACTCCCGGGATGGACTACAATCTCAGGTTTGGTTTACTAGTTTGTATTGAGATTGTAGTCCATCACAGGAGCGAGCTTGCAGCGGTGACTACATTACAACACACACAGGGACCATGGGGAACAGACGTAGCCACCCTCCAGAAGGAAGGACAGTGTCAGAGATGATTGGAGGATCTACAGCCGAGCGATACACAAATAAGATACATTGTTGTTCAGAGTTAAGGGACTTGAATTTATTTTTAAGACTTCATTTCTGATTCTAGCGTCACTTTAAATTTTAATTAGGCCTTTAGTTGCAGACCTTGTAATACAAACCCACCTCATTAGGATCGAGTGCATCAAAAGTGACGCAAAGCAAAGCAGGTCAAACACAGACTCAGTACCGCCATACACATGTTTTCTGGCCTACGTTTGATGTATCCAGCTGTCCGCCCTGTGTGGAGTCTCCCTCTGATGGGTAAATGTTATTCTTTCCTCGTGAGTTATCTAGGCTGAGGAAAGGGGACAGCATCTCCATAGAGATAAAGATTGAGGTGATTGGAGGGTGGGGTTGAATTGTATCTGCAGGTCCAGTTCTCCTGTGTCTGTGGGCACCTTTGGGTCTTCTGGCGCTGTTCCTGTAGAGAATTTCTCCCGGCCAGAGATAGAAATGTCTGACTTGATGGTGATTTAATTCACCAATTGTGCTCTAGCATGTAAGTTAGGGGTTGTTCACACCAAATGCAGACCAGATATGCATGAGTTACTGCACACGCAGTGCAGGGTGTTGTGCCGCATTTTTGGCGCGTTTTTGATGCGCTCCGGACCGTTTTTGGTTAAAAAAATGTTTAAATATTTTTTTAGTTTAAAATGGGCTTTCAGTGCGTTCCAGGGCGTTTTTATGCGTTTGCATGCGTTCCAGAGCAGATAAAATAGGGCTTGCTGCAGTTTTTTTACATGCTCTGGAACTGAACGCTGCGGTGTGAACTAGAGCCCAAAATACCATTGGAATACATTGGACGCAGCTTTGATCTGTTCTGTAACTGCTCGGCTCCTGGAACGCGCTTGGTGTGAACAAGGCCTAAGAGTTGGGGCTCATTCACAACAGACAGTGTGCATCCAAGTGCGGACACCCGGACCTTGCTTGTATGTGCAGGTTCGGGTGGTGTGCACGTGACAGCGTGTAACTGCGTGCGTCCGCGTCCTCCCATAGGAAAGAGCAGGCTGCTGCGCACAATTCCACGCAGCTCCTGCCCCTTCCGGGATGGGGTCTTTATACGGGCGTGTACGCTCGTCTGAATGAGCCCTTGTTGTGTACTTTTGGGTTGTCACAAGCAGCTTGGAACAATTCCACTCTTGCAGCTGAATGCCGGCCAACAAATTACTTAATTTACTAACTGGCCTGCTGACCCAAGCACCAAGCTATTACTGAAATGAATGGGGATTTAAAGGAGGGGGGGGACTCATTGTACTTAATTGACATTCATCTTCCAAATAACTGCTTATTTGACGGAAGTTCAGTGCGGTAAATGTTTGTCGTAAAATCATTTATGGAAATTTGCCAGTTCTGAGCAAAGGGAACTAACAGAGCTGACCGAATGGCTGTGAAGACCCCACAATGTAGAGAAGGCCCGTCGTGGTGGCACGTTGGATAAATAACGGCCGTGTTTTGTTCCTGTCATTTGCAATCGTTTGTCATTATTGTCTTCATAAAAACGCAACCCCTTCATGCACAAGGTAATGCAAAATTCCCGGAACCCAGTTTAGCAAATCTGACTTGTGTTCGTAAAACTGTACAAATCGTGGCAGCTACTTAGTGCATTCAGAGGGGTTATGCCAGGTTTTGGTAAGGACACATTGGGCCTTCATTGGGTGGTAAAGGTTAACAGATATCTCCTGAATGTGTTTCATTATCGAAGGAAAACCGGCCCAAAGTATCATTGTCAAATCCAAACTTACTAAGGGCCATGCTGAGAGTTGTGAATAAAATCAGGGACCGGACATAAGGAAGAAGGAAAAAAAAAATAACCCTGTTGCTTGCCATGGTACAAAGCTCGGGCCCACTAATCAATATATGACAGTGCTGGTGTCTTGTGTGTCAGGGCACTACAAGTGTCAGCAGTCCCTGTGAACAGGGACTGCTGACACTT